TGCCCTGGCTGAGGGAAGGAGGTTCTCACCCAAGATTTGACGGTACATGGCCCCGTCCATCGCCCCTTTGATGCGGTGAAGTTGTCCTGTCCCCTTAGCAGAAAAACACCCCCAAAGCATAATGTTTCCACCTCCATGTTTGACGGTGGGGATGGTGTTCTTGGGGTCATAGGCAGCATTCCTCCTCCTCCAAACACGGCGAGTTGAGTTGATCCCAAAGAGCTCCATTTTGGTCTCATCTGACCACAACACTTTCACCCAGTTGTCCTCTGAATCATTCAGATGTTTATTGGCAAACTTCAGACGGGCATGTATATGCGCTTTCTTGAGCAGGGGGACCTTGCGGGCGCTGCAGGATTTCAGTCCTTCACGGTGTAGTGTGTTACCAATTGTTTTCTTGGTGACTATGGTCCCAGCTGCCTTGAGATCATTGACAAGATCCTCCCGTGTAGTTCTGGGCTGATTCCTCACCGTTCTCATGATCATTGCAACTCCACGAGGTGAGATCTTGCATGGACCCCCAGGCCGAGGGAGATTCACAGTTCCTTTGTGTTTCTTCCATTTGCGAATAATCGCACCAACTGTTGTCACCTTCTCACCAAGCTGCTTGGCAATGGTCTTGGAGCCCATTCCAGCCTTGTGTAGGTCTACAATCTTGTCCCTGATATCCTTGGAGAGCTCTTTGGTCTTGGCCATGGTGGAGAGTTTGGAATCTGATTGATTGATTGCTTCTGTGGACAGGTGTCTTTATACAGGTAACAAGCTGAGATTAGGAGCACTCCCTTTAAGAGTGTGCTCCTAATCTCAGCTCGTTACCTGTATGAAAGACACCTGGGAGCCAGAAATCTTTCTGATTGAGAGGGGGTTAAATACTTATTTCCCTCACTAAAATGCAAATCAATTTATAACATTTTTGACATGCGTTTTCCTGGATTTTTTTGTTGTTATTCTGTCTCTCACTGTTCAAATAAACCTACCATTAAAATTATAGACTGATCATTTCTTTGTCAGTGGGAAAATGTACAAAATCAGCAGTGGATCAAATACTTTTTTTCCCTCACTGTAGGAGAGGCCCATGACCATTTCAGATATTCGTCATTGTGAGCAATGAGTGGGAATCGAACTCGGGTCGCCGGGTTCGTAGCGCAGTGCACTCATCACACGCATGCCCACAGACACGCACACACAAAGGCATGCATGTGCCCGCATGCATGCATGCCCATAATAGAGGTGTTTGGGTTAGATCACGTGAATATAACTGCGTCGTTAAACTCGCCACCACACGACACAGCCAATTAGTAAGGGTTGTCACGTACACAAAACGTGCCAATTAGTTATGAGTAAATACACAACATCTAGAATTCGAGTACGACGTTTCGCTGGTAATTACAATTAGGCTCATCAGGCGACAGCCAGAGTTGTGGAGAAATCCCCCTCCTGGTTCGGTCTTAAACATGCATGCATTGCATGCACTTTGAACTTCTTTCGCACCGTACGTAGCCAGCCGTCCCTAATCGGAGGTCCGGGGGGAAGGACAACAAACTAAACACACAAAAACACTTCTAAACAAATGAGTTTTCAATGTAGATTTCTTGCACAACTGCACGTAACAGAGTGAGTATAACTCACAAATGCACGCTTCCCCCATAACAGCCGCCATTCGCTACGAAGTGGTGGTGATGCCACCACGGCGCTTGTGCCAGACTAGGTGCACGTTAAGGCCACGTGCAGTGTCGAACGTCTGCTGGCAGGTCACGGGACAGACCCAGGTGCCACGGGTCGACTGACTAAGATGACTGAGATGGGCTGGCTGATCCACCACCTGTGCCCCCTACTGTGCCAACCTGCTGTGTTTTATCCACTCGTTGTTGTGAGCGTCGCTCCTCCCCCCTCCGTTGTTGTTGGAGGGCGACTGCCTCCAACTGCCCAGTTGCGTCCTTCACGAGCCTCCTCCACAGAGGCCGATCTTGACACCGCTGGTACCAGTCATTGGCAAGTCCACTAAACTCCACATCCTCTTGTACCACATCACTCCATCTCTTCTCTAGCCCGTGCCACTCCCCCACCAACTCACCCACCCACCCACTAACCCATCACTTCTCTAGCCCGTGTCACTCACCCACTCACCCATCACTTATTTAGCCCGTGTCACTCACCCACTCACTCACCCATCCACCCACTCACTGATCACTTCTCTAGCCCGTGTCACTCACCCACTCACTCACCCACCCACTCACCTATCACTCCGTCTCTTCTCTAGCCCGTGGTACGCCCGTTTAGCCCCCTCAATCCAGTGGCTGGGCATGCGGTGGCTGGGCATGCGGTGGCTGGGCATGCGGTGGCTGGGCATGCGGGCTACATGGCCCAGCTTCCCCCACAGACATACAAAGATCCCCCGTACAGAGTTAACACAGACAGACACACAGACAGACACACAGACACACATACAGACACACACACAGACAGACACAGACAGACACACACACAGACAGACACAGACAGACACACACACAGACAGACACACACACAGACAGACACACAGACTCACACACAGACAGACACACACAGACAGACAGACAGACACAGCCAGACAGAGACACAGGCACACACACACAGACACACACACAGACAGACAGAGACACAGACACACACAGACAGACACAGACACACACAGACAGACACACACACAGACACACACACAGACAGACAGACACACACAGACAGATAGACAGACACAGACAGACAGACACACACAGACAGACACACAGACAGAGACACAGACACACACAGACAGACACACACACAGACAGACACACACAGACAGACAGACATACACACAGACAGACACACACAGACAGACACAGACACACACACAAACAGACAGACACAGACACACACACAAACAGACACACACAGACAGACAGACACACACACACAGACAGACACATAGACACACACAGACACACACACAGACAGACACACACACAGACAGACACACACACACAGACACACACACAGACACAGACAGACACACACATAGACACACAGACAGACACACACAGACAGACACATATACACACACATAGACACACACAAACAGACACACACAGACAGACAGACAAACACACAGACAGACACATAGACACACACACAGACACACACACACAGACAGACACACAGACAGACACATAGACACACACAGACAGACACACACACAGACAGACACACACACATACACACACAGACAGACACACACAGACACACACACAGACAGACACACACACATACACAGACACACACACAGACACATACACAGACAGACACACAAACAGACACACACACAGACAGACACACACACATACACAGACACACACACAGACACACACACAAACAGACACACACAGACACATAGACACACACACAGACAGACAGACACAAACAGACACACACACAGACAGACACACCCACACAGACACAAACAGACACAGACACACAGACAGACACACAGACACACAGACAGACACACACACAGACAGACACACACACAGAGACACGCACACACACAGACACACACACACACACAGACACACACACAGACACACACACACAGACACACACACACAGACACACACAGACACACAGACAGACACACAGACACACACAGACACACACACACAGACAGACACACAGACAGACACATAGACACACACACACAGACACACACAGACAGACAGACATACACACACACAGACAGACACACAGACAGACACACACACAGACAGACACACAGACACACACACACAGACAGACACACACACAGACACACACACAAACAGACACACACACACAGACACACACACAGACACACACACAGACAGACACACACACACAGACAGACACATAGACACACACACAGACACACACACAGACAGACACATAGACACACACACATAGACACACACATAGACACACAGACAGACACAGACACACACACACAGACACACACACAGACACATAGACACACACACAGACAGACACATAGACACACACACATAGACACACACACACAAACACACAGACACACAGACAGACACATAGACACACACACATAGACACACACACACAGACAGACACACACATAGACACACAGACAGACACATAGACACACAGACAGACACACACACGGCCCTCTCATCCCACACCCTACCCAGAAACTCTAACACCCCCCTCATTCCATTTCTGACAAATTGTTCAAGAACCACAATTGTGTTACTTTAAATCACAACATTGCTAAATTGCCATCTATTTTACGTATTTATTAACGCAATGATCTTAAGCCATCTTGCTGTGAGCGAGGCCTCGAAATTAGGATATGTGGATCGTATGCAAATAAGTGACCATCACACAAAAGATGTGTACCAATTATCAATGCAACGTAAAATAGTAAAAAGTGTTATGTACATGCTAATGTACGTCTAACATTTTAGGCAATTGTTGTTCGTAGTGTATATCAATTGATATATTAATTGTTAAATCATCGGTATTCATGACATTGGAATTTTAGGCTGGGTTTGGGCTGATCACCACATCTGGACCATTAAAGGGCACAGCCACATACATCGCACCAGGTAAATATATATTTTTTTTAAATATCCTTATAAATTCCATCCTACATTGCAAAATATATAATGGCAAAAACAACTGACTAAATGTAACACCAAAAGGATATTCAACTAAAAAAAATACACATTTGTTTTTAAATGTACGGTAATATATTCATGCGTAACATTCCAGTTGTTGCCATTGATAGTCAACACGCGTAGCTGAACGAATTTGCGCGCAATCTCATTTAAAAAAAAAATACCTTTACAACCTAAATACAAAACGCACAAAATAAAATCGCAATGCGCGAGACGAGTCCCGTTCGTTTAAAAAAAAACCCGCGATGGTTGAGTGAGAACTAGCGGCGGTGGTGGCGGTGGTGGTGGTGTGGATTTTACCTCTCACGGCTTTGTCCGGGCTCGAGCGTCGTGGTGGTGGTGGCCACAGGCGCCGCTCGACGCCACCAAAACAATAATACACAGCGACGACAAGAAAAAAATACGCAAAATATTTCCGGGGTGGACGTTAAACGACGACGTGTAAACAAAAAAAAAATCTGAGGTAAACCGATATTTATTTTTTGACGAAATTTGTTGCAAAAAAAAGAGGAGGCGGCGGTAATTTTTGTTGCGTTTGTGCGGCGCTGAGGCGGCTGCTGCTGCCGCTGCTGCTGCCGCTGCCGATGCGAACGCTCTGCGCGCGCGCGCCGCCTTTTTTTTTCTTCCCGCCAACGCGAGGCGGGAGTGGGTGGGGGGTGAGGGGCAGCGATCAGTCGGTGAATCTTAGCGAGGCGCAGAGACGCATAAGGAGAAGAGGAAGAGCCCTCCAACGTACGGTGCGAAGGAAGTTCACACCCGTGCAGTGCTTACTACACTGGAGTGGGCGAGCTTTGCTAAGGCGGCGGCAGCAGCAGCAGGCAGCCTCTAGTCGAGGGGTAACCCTTGGTCTACTCTTCCACGCCGGCCCGACGTGTTGGTGGGAGAGGTGGTTGAGAGTCAGCCCCAACACTGCCGTGGTGGACAGAGACAATTTGTGGGTTAGGATTTCTGACCACTTGTACCCACCCCAGAGCCGTCCCTTAGGGTAACGATTAATGGGGGGGGGGGACCGCCCCGGGCCCCGCGCTTTGGGGGGCGAGGCCTCGCTTCGGCGTCAGGGATGGCCCAGCAGTTGCACCGTCGTTTTCAGCTGCCGCTTCGGGAGATAGAATCGAACTTGTGGATGATTTTTGGTGGCAAGCGGCCTCACTGAACACAGTAGTTCTCTCAGCCCCAGCCAGGCACTCAGGAACACAAGGCGACTTGGTGATGTGAATACCAATTATAGTATATAGATCTCACTATAGCACGACCCCTGCCGGATAGGGCTGCTGTTGCCTCACTGAACTAAACTAACAATCTTGATTTGAAGCTGTCGTGACTGCAGGGATCCATACTCTTTGGTTCTTTCGGTAAAGTCACGAAGGTAGGAATGAAATAAAACAATTCACGAAGTTTCGATCCAAAGAATATAAACGAACACTGTTAAACACGTCGTAGGCTTTCGCGACCAATGTCATCCATAACACAGGGGTTTTTGGGGGGGATAGATCGCAATCCAGAACCTGTGTTATAAACTAAAACTACTCATTTTATTGTTTTACCAGGCAAGGCCCCACTAAGCTATACGATCGTGTTTAGCTCTTTTTTTGTCAGCAGCGACCTGGCCAACACAAATGATGGCTTTGACGAAGTGACTTTCATCGTGTGTGGAAATCCACACTAGCAGCACAAACACTCTAAGCGCGTGTTCATTGTAAATGTGGAGGGGAAAACCAGAAGACCCGGAATAAAATCCACCCAACCATGGGGAGAGCAAACTCCGAATACAGTAAACAGGCGCCTTGGTTGGGACCGAACCCACGACCTCCCGTGTACCAGGCGAGGTAGTTAACATCTCCTAGCCACCCTGGTGACGGCTGCTTGGTGTTGCGCCCGAAACGTCGTGATTTATTTTATTTTATGCCTACGTGACTTTACCGAGAGAACCAAAGAGTATGGATTCCTGCATTCACGAAAGCTTCAAATCAAAATTAAATGATTTAGAACTGCTTTAGCGTGTTTGCTTTGTCGTCTGTCACCCCTCACTTCCAAATTAGCGCGGTCGGCTACGTACGCTGGCGAAATAAGTTCAACTTACAGGTACATTACCGAGTCATTCGGGGCGTTCGTCCGCTGTCAGTAGGAGGCGATAATTGGTGCCCTGTTTGCGTGCGATCCCTAATTGAGAGCTTTTGCAGTGCCATTTTCGAATCCGGCAAAATATGCAGTGACGTAGTGGCGTGTGACGTGCCCATCGTCTCTGTGAATTGCAAGTCGCAGCGGGCAGGACTCACTGATTAATGATAAACTCTTTTAACAACTCCAGGTAGCCACCTCCTAGCCGGACAATGCCGCCTCCTCCTCCACACATATTTATAATCCGTATCTCCTCGTAAAATATAAAAGGCATTTCTCGCACAATCCATCAGCCGCACGTCCTTCTGGGAGTGCGTGATTTCAAGCAACAGTGCCTCAAGGCGAGCAACACACTGGAGCGAGTGTCGTATCGTCAGCTTATCTCTTCCATTATTTGCATTCTCCACAACGACGCTCGTGGCTATAGTGAATTTTATATCCAACTAGGAGCACAGCGCTCTTCGCTAATTCTCTGAGAGGCGCGGCCACTTTGCGCCGAGAAGACATCGTCGCTGCGAGGGTCGCCACACGTTTGAAACCATTGGGGGTTTGACAGCAGCACGCTGATGATGATGGTGATGATGGGGAGGTGTTGATGATGATGATGGGGAGGTGTTGATGATGATGATGGGGAGGTGTTGATGATGATGGGGAGGTGATTATGATGATGATGGGGAGGTGTTGATGATGATGGTGATGAGGTGTTGATGATGATGGGGAGGTGTTGATGATGATGATGGGGAGGTGTTTATGATGATGATGGGGAGGTGTTTATGATGATGATGGGGAGGTGTTGATGATGATGGTGATGAGGTGTTGATGATGGGGAGGTGTTTATGATGATGATGGGGAGGTGTTGATGATGATGGTGATGAGGTGTTGATGATGATGGTGATGAGGTGTTGATGATGATGATGGGGAGGTGTTGATGATGATGGTGATGAGGCGTTGATGATGATGGTGATTAGGCGTTGATGATGATGGTGATGAGGTGTTGATGATAATGGGGAGGTGTTGATGATGATGAGGTGTTGATGATGATGGTGATGAGGCGTTGATGATGATGGTGATGAGGTGTTGATGATGATGAGGTGTTCTCACTCGCTGTGTATTGTCAGGGGCCGCACTAAAGGCCAATCGGGGCCGCCCGTGGCCCTCTGGACTCGCGCAGCTTCAAGAGAATCGGGGAGTAGAGAATCGGAGTCCTTCGCCTCTCACATCTGGGCAGTCCACGAGCATTGTTGACTCAGGTGAGGCTGACTGCTGGCGACACAGCCTGAAAGCTTCAAATCAAGATTGACACAGCCTGTGTGCGATGCCGGATTAAACTCGTGCGGGGCCTGGAGTATATTATGTTATTAAGGGGCCCTAAATAAAAAAAAAACGTTAACATTAAAACACGTAAAAAAATACTTGCATAATCAAGTAATTGTATTTTTTTTATTTGCTATATACAGCCGGATAATAGTCGTTCGTAAAAGTTGAAGGCGGTATAGTACTATAGTAATAGAGCAAGTGCAGGATCACTGAACCGGAATTGATGGCTTGAAAGCATTTAGCGCGGGGCCCTTGAAAGTGCGGGGCCCGTAGCAGCACGTGGAGCCACTTTGCCACTGGGATAATCCGGCACTGCACGTTGTGTTTCAACACTTTATTTATTTTTAACCACCAAAGTAATTTTTTGCTCGTCTCAGATCAACGGCTGCTCATGCTACGTACACTCCCGGAAGGCCGCTGATGAAATGCAACAAACCAAAAAAATTGTTTTTACTTTTATATTTTACGTGGAGAGACAGCTCCGTGTTAGGAGGCGTATTGGTCCGCCGATCCATGCAGGTTGTTATTCAGAGTCGTCTCTCCGTCGCGTCGCCGCTCGTGATTGTTTCTGGTTTAACAACAACCACGAGAACAACCACGACAACAACGACAACAACCACGACAACAACCACGACAACCACGACGCCCCCCCCTCCCCAGGCCGTCGTCGTTTGCGCCAGCGCCTCGTCCCGGGGGGAGCGCGACCGTCCGTGTGAGTGTGGCACAAAACATTGGGACCGCGCTCTCAATTCAGTCAGCAAAATAAATAAAAATAACCGCGGCAGTGTTAAGTTGAACGGCGCTCAAATTAGGTGTTTATGTGTGTGTGTGTCTGTGTGTGTGTCTGTGTGTGTGTATGTGATTATTGTGGGGAGCGGTAGTGTAGTGGTTAGCGCTGCGCTGCGCTACAAACCTGGCGACACGAGTTCAATTCCTGCTCACGGGCAACACCTGCGACGATTATCTGAACCGGTCCTGGGCCTTCCCCTAGGTCGACTCAGCCTCAAATGAGTACCTGGTGTAGCGGTGTGTAAACATCGCCACTGGGGAGACAAAGGCGGTCGGGCGTGGTGCTGGCCACCCGCCCCCTCGTGTGCAGTTTTGGCCTTCATAGGTGCTCGCTAACAGCACTTGCCACTACAGTCTGTTACAGGCTATACGGGGATCTTTGTCTTTTTGATCATGGTTTCAGATTGAATTATTTTGGGCTCTGTCAGGAGCAATGCAATTGTAGGGCTACGCCTGTTGTCACTGTGGCTAGGAGATGTTAACTACACAGGAGAGCGTGGGTTCGATCATGACCCTGACTCCTGCTGCTGTTTATTTGAAGTTTGCGTGTTTCTCTCTCCGTGGTGAGATGCTAACTACCTCGCCTGGTACACAGGAGTTCATGGGTTCGATCCCGACCCTGACGCCTGCTGCTGTATATTTGGAGTTTGCGTGTCTCTCTCTCCCCGTGGTCGTGTGGATTTTTCTCCGGGTCCTCCGGTTTTTCCCTCTACATGTAGAATCCACGTGCATTTATTCGTCATCATAAAGGTTTTTGGCTTGCATCGCAAAAGTATAAATGTGTCGTAACCCTCCACCACCCTACACAGCCAGTAAGGTTTGTCACGTAAACAACGCGCCAAATAGTGACTACTTCAGCCCACCGGTGTGTTGGAGAGCAAATCCACAACATTTACAATTTCAATGCGTTTCGCTGGTAATTACATCCAGAATCATCGGGCGATTGGCCAGAATCGTGAAGCCCTCCACCTACGTCCGGTCTTAGTGCAGGACGACGTCATCACTGAACCATTCAGGTGCAGAAATCAGAGGGTGGGGCGGGGGGTATTGTAATTGTATAATAGATTAGTAATCAGTTAATTAGTATGTGTTTCCTCTTTAAGGAACGCAGTTGTAAGATGTATGATTTAATAATAAGCTTACAGGCCGCACTAAGCCTGTAGCTGGCAGAGCGGTTGAAATCATTTGTATCTCTCACTTTTAATGGATTCTCGAATTAGTCTCGGCCAGTAATAATTGGTTTTACACAACACTTGAGCGTTATCAACATCAATTGAGTCTCCTTGTTGGCAAGCTTGTTTTACAACTGCCGACAGTTGTATTTGGGAGTATTTAATATGTATTTGGTGTTGTTTTAGTCATACGCTAATGTTACGTGTCGTC